GCTAATATTCTTACACAATTTATAAAAGAAAAACTACTGTTTTTCTTTCTGTTCTGCTTTTTCACACATGTTATTAGCAATTTGTGATAAAGGTGGCAATAAAGCAGTTTCACAGAGCCATGATTCGCAAAAATATTTGTTATTTAAAGAAAAAATTATCCATCGTATATATAGACAGCGATTTTCTATAAATAAGGAGACATTTTAAAACCAGTGAACATCAGTCAATAAGACTGTAACCGTTACGATCTTCACCTTCGATTAGATCATATCATCACTTCTGCTATTCTTCTTAAACATGCATATATATACTTTTGCGCGTCATTCTCTATGTTCTGGGATTTTCCCCATATGTAACTTTCTCTATTCTCTTTCTTTCCTTGCCGTTGAATGATGGGTTTTCTCCCTATTTTGTCTGGGGAATTTCCTTTAACTCGGACAGTACTATATCTAACGCATTGTTCATAAACCTATATACAGTTGCTGATTTTTTATAATAAAGCCTGACTGTATCGGTTATATTCATCTTTGGATATTAAAAGGTTAATTCAAAAGAAATCACAATACAACATTTGTTCACTGACCAACGGACGAGAAAACAAGGCTTACCATAACACCATTTCGATAGAAAAATACAGCAAATATTTTTACGAATCATGGCTCTGTGAAACTGCTTTATTGCCACCTTTATCACAAATTGCTAATAACATGTGTGAAAAAGCAGAACAGAAAGAAAAACAGTAGTTTTTCGTTATAAATTGTGTAAGAATATTAGCGGTTTTCCCCTCTTTTTCTAAGTTTTAGACGCAGAAGACTCGCTCAAAATCTCGCTTAGAACCTTTTCTGTAGGTTTGACGACGTGCTCTTTCATTTGGATAGGTCAAGGAAATTTTTTAGTGAAAATGGTTTTTCGATTGAAAACCAAGAACTTTAAAAAAGGAATCTTTCAATCGAAAGCGGGCAAAAGCCATTGTAATATTCGGAATCAGCACGTTCGATTACCTATTGTCAACTGAGTTTAAGCTCAAAAGCGAGGAGGTGGTTGGTGGCCTTTCCTCGTAAGTCTACGGGTAGACTTATTTTTTTGACGGCATTCCTTAACACTATTCAACGGCTAATCAGGGATAAGTTTTTGACTAAATCGCTTCGAATTACGATAAGTTATTGACTTCTTTATCTAAACCGTCTAAAAGTGTAGGAATGCTCAACGAAAAAATGTTGCATCATTTTTTCTTGCTTTAAAATTACCATCATTCGCGTTTTCGTACGACTACTGGTAACAAAAGCTTGTATGGCAGCTATTTTTAGTTCTTTTCAGCCATTGTCTTCCCTACCTCCACGGTTTTTGAATATTATTTTTAATTTTATTAAATTTATTTTAGAAATAAGATTTTTATCCCGTAAGAAATAAAATTTATTAAAATGGCAACTTATTTTAAGACTCCATTTGGTCCGTATTATGTAGAGGCAAAAGTAGCTAAAGTCGAAAGCACTAATAACAATATCATATGCTGTGTAGATGTTTCTGGTTCAATGAGTGGTGCACCAATTAAGAATGTCTGTGAGGTATTACGTGATATTTATAATAGAACAAAAATAGAATATCCTCTATTTAGTTATAATACTGTTACAAATACAACAACTACTATTAAAAGTGTGGAAAAAACAGATTTGGTTGCTTCAGGTGGAACAAGTTTTAGTTCAATTTTTAATGCTATTAAAGATCATTTGCTGAAAAATGTAAAACCAACGACATTCATTTTTATGACTGATGGTCAAGATTCAGAACCAAATGGATTAACATTAAAAAAATCAATAGAAGCACTTAAACTAGCCATTAGTGCAATGAAATCAATTTCAATTACTTTTCATGTAATTGGATTCGGTTCTGTTGATGATAGTTTTTTAAACAAAGTACGAGAATTTGGTACGAAACATGGCTTATTGAAATATTCAACTCAATCTGCTGAATTACAGAATAATTTTAATGATATGTTTGAATATGCTACATCTTCAAGAGAGTTTTCAATTAAAATAAATGGAAATACGTACACTTCAAGTAGTAATGATGAAACAGTTGGATTTTTAGTAAACGATGTTCTAGAAGGTTCATCCGAAATAACTCTTAAATCCGATGTTGAATCAAAAATTATGTTAGAACCTCTAAATAATATACGCTCTATTCATATGGTAAAAGCTCTTAATTTAATGTCTCCCGAAAATGAAGAATCTGTTAGAGAAATACTAACACATTTACATTCTATTATTCCAACAGATTCTAATCTAATGGAAAGATTAGAAGTTGAACAAATTAAAAGAGAAATTAATGATAGAATGATGGAATATATTAAAATATTTACACAAATAAAAATGGGACAAGTACCAGAACAAGTTAAACTTAAATTGAGTGCTCTTAGACATGATGCTACATTTGCCAATTCACAAAGAAAAAAGAAACTTGATCTTCGTGTTAATAGAAATGTTGAATATTTTCAAAAAACCGATATTAGTGGTATATTAGATGGATATAAGAAAAACATTGATCAACAAGGATGGGAAAAAATTAAGGAACAAAAAGCAGCTTGGGTGTGTACATATTCAAGTGATGACATATATAAAATGATGAGAAAAGCAGCAGATAATATTTTATGTTTGGGAATTTTGATTGAAAGAAATGAAGAAGCCATTACATCACCAACGAAAGGATTAAATTTAATAAGTGTATCTAATACTATTATTTCATATGATTCATTTATTGCTGCGATGAGTTTTGCAAAAAAAGAGGAAGACAAGAAACAGACAGAAGGAATAAATTATGGTGATTTTTCAAGAATTAATGATACATACTGTGTTGTTGGTGCCATGCATGAAAAAATAAATGCTGTTATTCCTCTTTACATTAATTATGAACATATGAAACGTATTCGTATTCTAGAAGGAATTTGGTTAGGTTATTTATTTACTCTTGATTCATATGGTTATGATAAAAATCAAGAAATAGGTCTTCTTAAATTATTATATGATATTATTATTTCACGTACTGAAACGACGAGAAATAAACAAATTCTTGTAGAACTTGAAAAAGTATGTCATTTTATTATTACTGAATCAGTTGGATTTAAAAGTGCATATGGGGAAACAACATATGATAATTTTGTTGCCAGCATTCATGGACGTAATAGTACTTATAATCTATGTATTCCTCTAATGATAGGATATTTAAAAAATGATATTAAAAATGTAGTTATGCCCGTATATTATGAATATATTAGACAATGTTTTTGTACACGCAAAGATACTGATACTACTGATATTATAAAAAGATTATTATATGGTTCTGAAAATAAGACTATGACAATTGTTACTAATGAAAATGTTGATTATAATCAAGATGATCCAGATTATGTTGAAAAAAGTTTTATACAATATTTTCATGATGAAATGAACAAACCGATTCAATTAATTTCAGAAGTTTTTACTGGTCAAAATCGTAAATTAATAGCTGAAACTGATATTGATTATATTAAAAGTTTACTTTCATCAAAAAGTTTATCAGTTCCTATAGAAATTAAAAATATGTTAAAATATTGTAATATGGATGAAAATTATGTTGAAGATAACATTGATTACGATGATATGAGAAAAGAATTATTAATGATGTTGTCGTTTGGTATTGTACCAGCTCATGTAAATAAATCAAATATTTATCATGTTGCCGACGAAAAGAGTCAAGGTAGTAGTAGTAATTTGATTAAATTAGATTTAACACCAGAAAATATTCGAGTTGTTACATATAAAATTACAAATACAAAAACATTGGAAGGTTTTGGTGGATTGATGAGAAAATATTGTCCCGAACGTCATGGTGAAATTTTTACTGAAGTTATTAAAAGTTTACTCTCATCTTCTGTTTCACAACAATGTGAAGGCTCTTCGATATCAAATAAAGATAAATTGATAGCATTATTAACGAATCAAGTTGGATATTCTCCCTTGTACAATAATCTTCGTGATTTTTGTTGGCAACCATTAAAGGATGTTGATATTAATGTTCTTCGTCAAATTGTAGGTGTAAAAGAATTAAAGAAAATCGAAGATGACAACAGCGGAAAAAAAGTGGTACATTGTTATCGAATATCAAATAAAGAAAATCGTCATGGATATGGTAATTATTACCCAAATATGCGAAATATATTTAAATTTATCAGTTATAGTCAACGTCAATGAAGAAATTAAATTATTATTTGCAGAAGAACAAGCTTCTTCATTTTATTTCAATCAAAGAAGTATAAAAGTTGTAGATATATCTATTTCAATACAAAACAATTGACGATAATTCAACATTAGTGGTCTTTACTAAGGTGAAATAGTTAACTGAACTCGTATCTTTCTGTAAAACATAAACAGAATCAACAGCAAGCATATTTTCACCTCACCTATAAGCATATGTTTCTGCATCTTGATAAACCTTAAAAAATATAATTTTTCTCTTGTTACAAGCAACGTTCCTTTTCGACCCACTCTCTGCCTTGATGTCAAATCACAATGATCGCCTTCTTGCAAGTAGCTAATGAACGCATGCAGATATCTATAATATGGCGTATCTACACAGGAATTACGTGTGGTTCCTTGACTCGTTTGGCTCGCCTAGAAGCTAGTGGACAAATGTCGGGTAGCGAGTTAACAGATTCCTATGCATTGGAAAACATGTTCAGTCTTCACTTCACGCTGTCAGAATCTTAAAGGATAGTAGGAATCCAGACGCTTTCTAGAGACATGGAGATCTACTGGTGATGGATACCATATTCAATGTCCATTTTACACCGAAATCCAACTTAGAAATGGACAGGAATTTCGGAGGTTTTTGTAGAGAATCGGTGAAGACTTCCTAAAAGTACAGTGTGCGGATCATCAGGTTATTCAGAGGCTGGCTTCAGCAACCGGTATACTCTCTAAAAAGAAGGGTTGTGTGCGAAACTTAAAAGGTTATAGAGAAGTGTAACCATTCAGAGTTGTAACTGGTCTTAAAATAAGAGGCCGGATCGGGCCGGCCGGTCCAAAAATCGATTTAGACTGGTGGAAAATCGACAGCTCTCCTGAAAACCTGGCGGTTTTTAAAAATTCTCTAGACTGTTTGAAAGACGGCAAAAGAACGGCCAGTTTTGAAAAAACTTTTAGATCGGTGGAAAAATGGCAGAAAACTGGTTTTCAAATACTTCCTAGACGGACAAGAGAGTAGAAATACTCGTTTTCTGTAGTGAAGAAGAGCGAAAAGCTTGTTTGAGCTGCTTGAACGGGCCACTTCTTCAGAAAAAAACTATAATAATAATTGAATTAATGCATCTAAACGGTTTCGTATCCCATCTTTTTTTCTAAAGCTAAAATGGTTTAGAAACGGTTCCATTTCCCTATACCCTTTTAGCTTTCGTATACAAACCTTTTTTTTAGAGAGTACGCTGCTAAAATCAGAGATGCAGGCAATGTTCGTTTTCGCGTAACCATCATATACCATTTTAGTCCTAACATGTTCTTTTCTGTTACTTTAAATCAGTTATGATAATAAGAAGAGGGTAAAATACAGAGCGGATTTGTGGCATCTCATCATTAGTTGTCTTGCAGAAATGTCTTACTAGAAATTACTTGAAAATTTTTTCAAGCTCAGTCACGGCCCCAAAAAATATCTCTCAAGTCAAGTCACACCCAAAACATTGTTCGACCAAGTGAAGTCAAGCCGAACCTGACTTGAATGGGGCCTGAGGCATTTTTTACTTGACTTGTCCAGTTCTGGCTCGGTGGACAACAATATGCTACTTGCATAAAAAATCACCGCTGTTTGTTGTCATATTCTTGAACTAACACTGCACTGACGAGGGAACCTCCCGAGATTATAAATCGCTTTTTGATGTACATCTAGTGGGTTATAGGTTATCGACCATGCTGATTCCGAATATGACCATAGGACTTCCCCATAGCTCTTCAAAAATCCAGTCTTCTGGGAAACCAGTTTTTCAGAAACCCCAAAAAATAACCCAAGTCCTTCTTAACAGTTTAGGATTGTAACGCGCAAATTCTGATTAAAATGAAACATTCCCCAGCTCTGCACGACCTTTCTTCGCAAAGTTAGAGAATTTATAAGAAGAGCCCTAAATTGTTCATTGTCAGCTCAAAGCTACAGAAATAAGAAGGAAAAAATTAATTTAGGGCTCTTCTTATAAATTCTCTAACTTTGCGAAGAAAGGTCCTGCAGAGGTGGGGAATGTTTCATTTTAATCAGAAATTTGCGCGTTACAATCCTAAACTGTTAAGAAAGACTTGGGTTATTTTTTGGGGTTTCTGAAAAACTGGTTTTCCAGAACACTGGATTTTCGAAGAGCAATGGGGAAGTCCCATGGTCATGTTCGGAATCAGCATGGTCGATAACCTATAACCCACTAGATTCCGAGCAATAAGCGATTTATCACCTAGGGAGGTTCCCTCGCCAGTGCAGTGTTAGTTCAAGAATATGACAACAAACAGCGGTGATTTTTTATGCAAGTAGCATATTGTCGTCCACCGAGCCAGAACTGGACAAGTCAAGTAAAAAATGCCTCAAGCCC